GGGGCAAAATGTGATTTCGTGGGGGGGGGGGACAAGGGGGGACTGGGGGGGCATTTGCCCCCCCCCAGCTTGTATGTTAAAAAAGGCCCTGATACAACGTTTGGTTTCCTTCATTTGCTTTAGAACAAACAGATAACTGACGAAAGAAGATTTAAGAACAAATAAGACTTTGTCCACTTTTGGGAAGTTCTGCACTTTGTTCTTTAAAAAAATACATTTTTATATATAATTATAGCAAAAAATTATCACTGTTTTATTGGTGTGGATCGTGTAATTGCGAACAAGCGAGTGCATGATGACGTGGCTGCATACAATACAGATCCTGGCTCGCCCAGCCGCTACGCCGTGATTCAGGAAATTAATATAGATTCCTATAATTATTATTTTATATTAAGACGAACAGTAGTCAAATTTGTGCGAACTCTAAAACGTTTAAGCGAAACAAACAGATTTAATGAATATATATAGTTAGATTAATTTAACTTTACTATATACCTTTCCTTCGGTAATTAACCATTGCAAAGAGATCAGTGAAAGAACTGCGACTGATGTCCGAACTGTTTTTGATCGTAAATAAGTCATAATTTTAAACCAACCTCCGTCGCAAAGATCCTGGGTACGAGAATGATTTTAAATTTGGTCAGACTAGTTCTCTCAGTGTTTCTTTTGTGGATGTTTGTGCCTAAATAAAGTAGGTTGATCACTTTTTCTTGACATCACTTTGTGGCAGGATATCGAAAACAGACCTGCATGCACATTTCCGTTTCAGCAAATAAGTAAGCAATCGATATAAATATTGACATTAATTGTCATTAACTATGATTGCCAACGCATGTATTGATCTAGGCACCGACAGTGATATTAGCAATACCAGTCAACTCAAAATAGATAGATCTATAATAGCAAAAACTGGGCATGGGCATTTTAAAACTCCAAAGACCTGGTTTCCATATGTGATATGGTCGTAACGGCCGTAAAGATTGTAAAGTAACCATCTTTATGATTAGCCGAAATACAACATTTTAGAACTGAACATGAGTAATCATAACTAGAGAATACTTATGATTTATATGTACTGTTTATCACACCTATACCCCAATCGCAATAGGGTTAAGAATAGACTTGTGATATTGTGACTGGGTGCATACATGGCAAGCATGCATGGAAACGAAGCCATTGGAGCTAAAATGAATGAACAGCAACGTCTATTTGCTTGACGATTCTATAGCGGTAATAGATATAGGCGAGTCTAGACCTGTTTAGGTTTGCCATAGTCCATACTCATTAAAATAAAATCCGTTCAAAACACACCGCCTGTCAAAGGCCGAGAAAAGTTCGTCGGTTGGTGAATTAACTGTTTTATACGATGATGATGAATTATTACATTAAATTCACTAAAAACAGTGTCTTGATTAGGCTTCTCTACCCTCAGCACAATCAAAAAAATGATGTTGATGTAGTTCGATGTGGTTGTAAGGAAAAAAAGGTAGGAGTTTCTTTTAAGCTTTCTATATGTTAACAATGCTTATAGTCTAAAGGCGGTTTTCCAGTCCTCGGCTCCTCGCACGAAGCTCCTCGCTGCGAATGCTTGCATCTAATTAAAATTAACTGTTTAGCATTGTGATTGGATGAAAGTGCTCATGCATGCACTCGCAGCGAGGAGCTTCGTGCGAGGACTGGAAATCCGCCTTAAGGCAATAATATGTCACATGCTTTGATATTTTGTCTTTGTCAGCTTGAGTCATGCACAGATGCACTACTTCAAAATTAGGCAAAATTATTAAAAAATATATGCATATATATATATATTTGTTATATCGCTTCCATCCATAGTCTTCATAAATTGCTGGAAATAGACAAGTCCGTAATCTCTATTTTTCCTAACGGTTTTATCTCTGTTGATATTGTTTTCAGGCTAACCTAGTCAACCTAGGGAGCGTTCATTAATTATAGAAATTATTTATTGTGGGGCTGGTAAACCAATATTCAATAAGGAGGGGAGTTATAAGACTTTCTAACACAGATGAGGCGGGAGGTTTAGAAAAAATGAATATAATGAGGTGTATTAGTTTTTAATTGCCCTGCGAGAACAAAGGGAATACCCGCAATCATGATAATATTGTTAATAAATTGATTTTATGTTAATTCCCAGGATCATATAAGCTTGGATTTCTAAATATAAGGATTAAGGTTTTAAGCATTTTAGCTGAGCAAATGAACCTAGATAGACCTACATTCACATGTGTCAATTTAGAAACATTGCACACTACTGTATTGGCGGGGTTTGGGTGTCAGAAGCATAAAATTTGTATGAATCTTACTTAGGTGGGTGGCTGTTAATATGCCATAGTAATGAGGCCATGCACAAACAACAATTACGCTTGAGTTCCTTTTTTAAAACAGAATGTGTAATGATAGTTTATAGAAGAGTTGGGATACTCATTAGAATAAAAGTATAACATTTCGCCCTCCCGCCTTGATCAGTTATTCAACAAAAAAGTGCGACGCCACTGCGACCTAATGTGTCAATAGGCAAACATAGACCTGGCTAGCCCGCTTTACCAGGCTAAGCAAGACAACATACACATTGTTTATACGCTGCATTTTAAGCCTGTTTTCCACTAGGTGAATTTGTTCGCGCGAAAAACAAATTTCGGCAATGTGATTGGTCAGTGAGAAAATTCGCCGCGAAAACCTGTTCGTTTACTGAAACACAAAAACGGCATTCTGATGTTAGTTTGTGTCTCTTTTAACGTTATTTGTTTACATTTTTGATACAAAAACTGTGCGTCTGCTATTTTTCAGCCCAGTTTGGTGGGATGAAACGATTACATGGAACATTTCATTCCGGCAACCCGAACACGCTTGCGACAAGCGAGACATCGGTAAAGCGGGCTGGCCCGGCTGCCATGTAATCGAAACTCAAAATTTATATAAGATTATTATAGTGAGTGAGCTGGTCCGGTAAACCTGGCTAGCTCGGTAAAGGGAGCTAGCCTGGTCCAGGCTTTTAGCCAGGGTGTCAAAACTGGCCGCCCGAAAAATACCGTGGGTGTTGCAACCTATTTTCGTGGACGTGGCCAAAAACATGGCGCTTGCAGAAATTAACTTTCACATACTCAGAATTCAGCATCTTTTTTATACAGTAGATAAAGTAAACCGCAGCTGACAACTTTTGAGGCATTCAAGAACTACCACAATGTTTGTGACTTGCTGTTTAAAGACAACAACCTCTTATAGGCCCTATGTAATGACCGTCTATAAAAAGTGGCCGTGTTACTTTAAAAGTGGCCGTCCAAAGGACGGTTGGACGGTCGCATGGCAAAATGCCTTAGCCCGGTCCATGTAATCGGCCCCTAATATTATTTGATACATTTTAAACATGCGCAAGTCATCCACAGTTCATTCCACAACTATATATTGAATATGTCTACTAGCCATTCTCTAACGTTCTTTCGATAAATCTCTTTATAGATAATAGCATGGTTTTTATTGCATGGGGAATGTACCATTCCCCAAAATTTTGAACTCAAAAAGTCTAGACAAAAATTTTATCACAGCTTGAAAGAGCATCACAAAATTAGTAATATTCCAAAGTTTCTTTGCAAAATGTTGCAAAATGCGGATAATATAGCCTTGCGAAGTTTGCAATTTTCAGCCATTTTAGATTACAAACGGGAAATGGTTATCACTTCTGTGCGTAATACAAAATGACTGAAAATTACAAACTTCGCAAGGCTATATTATCCGCATTTTACAACATTTTGCAACGAAATTTTGGAATATTACTAATTTTGTGATGCTCTTTCAAGCTGTGTTGAAATTTTGTCTAGATTTGTCGAGATCAAATAACGCAATCGCGAGTTTTTCAAAGTCCAAAAATACCGTAAACCTCCGAATAAAACCCTGGGCTTATATTCGTTCGCAAGTAGTTTTGATGGGCTTATACATGCATGCGGCAGGGGGGTGGGTGGAGGAGCTAATATACGGGGGGGGGAGCTTATATACGGGGGGAACTTATAAGGACGACACATTTGTTGTTAGTACACTGGGTAGTTTATATACACAGAGTGCTTTATATTCGGGCGGGACGGGCGGCGTATGTATATTTGGAGGTTTACGGTATACGACCGAAGGCGAAGGACGTGAGTGCAATTTGAAGTCTGAACGAACTCGCGACCGTGTTTCCTTAAAAGTGCACAAAAATATATTCATATTCTTCCAGTTATGTACAGGGCTCAGATTGGTCTACGAGTCATAGTCATCATCATCTTCTCCTCGTTTTCTCTTGAGTGCAGACACCAAAGCTTGTTGTTGTAAACTGCTTGCTACCGTTTCATCCATACTTGGTAAAGCTGATACAGTTGTCATAGATTTAGCAAGCTGAGGTGTTGATGTTGTGGTGGTCGCTCTTGATTGTTGCCATGTTGTTATAGGTTTTCCACCAATTGGCTGTTAAAAAATGTAACTATTAATGAATACTGCATAGGGAGTGGTGAAGCAGAGTGTGAGGGCATTACTAGGGGGGCGGTCTCTATTTATGTCGGGGGTGGTACCAAAGAGAAAAGGGTTGGGTGAACAAAATTTTGAGTGAGTAAAAGGTTGGGTAAATGAAAAACGAAACAACTCAAGGGTTGGGTTATTAACAAAGCACTCAAATATTAGAGACTAAAAAGCAATGTCAACAGTCGTATGTCAGTACAATATGTAAATCAATCAGAGCCACTATCTTGACCATTTTCCAATGAAAATGCATGTGCAGACAACATGAAACTTTAGGGGTGTCCGGGTGGACCATTAGAAAAGTGATGGGGGGGGGGGTTACTTTTTTAACTTGTACGAATATTTTTTAAAATTTTTTGCTTGTGTCGATAATTTTTTAAAATATAATCCCTTTCCACGAATTTTTTTTATTTCAACTTATAATTTTCCCAACTGAAAAGTCTCTTTTTCAGACTTTTTTGGTGCACGAATTTTTTTCCTTTCTGTTTCCCCTGCGCGATTTTTATTTTTACTTTCCCCCCACCTCCCCCCTATCACTTTTCTAATGGTCCGCCCCTTAGACAACAGAAAATTCCACAAGCAGTTATCACACTCATGTCACAGAAGTGGTAAACACAATATGTGTGACAGCTGAATGGTATCCTTTTGTAAAGTTTTTGGCCAGGGCTGGGTATTATTATTGAAGTTTTTTTTCCACTTTTTAATGGTTGGATTAGCAAAGTTTTTACCAAGAAACACATTCCTCTTCGCTTCCACTCCCGCCATAAATTATGACCGCGCTCGGACGATTTCCAGTTTAGCATCTTTCAACGGAGAAGTTCAAATCCATTTAAATGTTACTTGTGAAATAATTAAATGAATAAAGGGGCAGATTTAGTTCTGTGTATGATTTAAGGTGCATCTATTGAGGTATAATTAGTACTCGTATATAAAATTTAGAAAGATTTAAACTTTTCCGCGCGTAAGAAAAACGCTTAATTGGAAAGCTCATCATAAAAAGTCATCACTGAATAATTATATACTAGCATCCTCAACAATGTTAAAGAAAAATGCCCTAACTTGACTGAGCAACTCATTACCGGCTGCACCAAACTCAAATATCCTAGTTCATTGCCCATGTTCATGCAATGAAATTTATTGACTCTTCAATAGACTCTCAATACTCAATGAAAATTTCAGGTCAGTATAGCTTGTATATAGGCTTGAAAATTGAGTTTTTCAGTATTAAAATAGCAATTTTAAAGGAGTATTTGAGATGTTTTCTTTCGGGAAAATGAAAAGTTGAAAAGATAGAAAATGGCGGGAGAATCGAACCCAGATCGAGCGAACGGTTTATTGACCAATGTATAGCTTCCGAACGAAATACTTGGTGTAATATTGACGATTTGAATCAACGATTTGTTTCTAACGCCGGTTGTTTTTTTTTCACGAAAAACCTATCGGAACTAACAAAAGTTAATACTATAGTTTCACTTAGCTACTATTTAGCAAAACATTTTAAGAATTCAAGGAGTATAGTTAAGGAGTTTCAAAAGCTTTTCAAGCGCTCTTGAAAAGTCAAAACTTATTCAAGTAGTATTTAAGGACTTTAAGGAGTATAGAAATGACAAAAAATTGAGAAAATAAGTCTCAAAGTTTTGTGCCACTAACCAGGTTGACTATGGGGCTCAAAATGCTTCAGCTTCATAGTGAGTACCTTCCTTTTCTGATAGATTTTTAATACAAGTTTAAAGCTTCAACATTAAAAAAATACCACCTTCCAATGTTGATTTTTCCTATCGACTATCGAGCCACCTTAATTATTTTCTATGATTTTATAAGTAAAAAACATATTGTTATATATACCCTGCTAAGAGCTGGGACAATAGTTGGCGGGTTCGGACTGGCTTTTTGGACCGTCTGTGTAATGGTAACCACAGGCTTTTTCAGACTAGTCCCTCCTTGTACAGTACTTGCTACTGTTACTGCACTTGAGATTGGTTTTACAGTTAAGGATGTAGGAGTTAGACCAGTTGTAGAGGCACTTTTAATAGATGACATTGACACATTGAATGCAGGTTGAGTGATCTTAATTCCAGGACTGGATGCTGATATTGGATAATGAGGAAGCGTTCGTGCTGGTACTATTGGTACTGGTCGTGCCTGCTGTTGTTGCTGAAAACAGAACAATGTTTGATACAGTAGGTTGAATTATTATAATCTATGATAACGAGATTTTTCCCGCCAAAAGTATAACCAACTTTCTGCTCACTTTGGCAAATTGTCAAGCTGTTGAGTACAAGATTTTGAACAAATCTCGTAGTTGGATAACGAGTTTGTGTTAGGAATTCATTGGTTTGATGCTGCCTTTACCAACTGAATGAGTTTTTAAAAGCGATAGTATTTTAAACTGCGTTTGTTTTAGACGCTTTGATTTTTATTAATACTATTACTTATACAAATAAAAAATAAATACTTATAAAACATTTTTTTAGTTTTAAACGCCTGTTGCGGTTCGTATTAAACAGAACAAAGAGTACAAATTGCCAAGCTCAGCAGACGGTTGGCTAGCTATGCTTTTTTGGCGGGAAAAATCTCGTAATCGTTGTCGTACTCGTATTCAAAACTAAACCTCTCTATTGATGTCTTCGTTTGAAAAAATCAAAAACAATATGCGCTTTTCCATACAGTATATAGAGATGTGTGATTATCTCAACTGACTTTTCAGTATGCTAAAGAAAGACACTAAAAAGCAAAAGCTGTGAATTGAGGGGGACTCTACCTGAAAAATACAAGTAAAATTTCAACGTTTCGAGGCTCTTTGTCGAGAAATTAGTAGGAACTAACTGTGCGTCTGCCATGGTAAAACAGGCAAACACGAAAATAAGGTTACTGGCGCAAAAGTGCAATCAACAGCAAAGTATAAACTAATTGTCTGGCATTACATTCAGGGTAAGAGGAGCAGTCCAATTGGCGCACTGCGCACACGTGTGGGTTAAAGGTTTGAAAAGCAAAAGTCCATGTACATGACATAATTTCTGTACAACTCAAACCTAGTTTTCATACTTTCTTTTGTTGCTGCTTGACACGGTAATTGTTCGACAACAAACAGTAGCGATCAGGAGGTAAACGCAATCCACTTCGCGGTTGAATAAGAGGCAATGGCGTGCTGTTCTTCTGCCTTGCTATCTCCATTAGAAACTACAACAAGAATTATATAAACAGTATGTTTCGTTGAGCACAATCTTAACATTACATATTCTTTGTTTGCAATGCCAATGACGAAATTTTGGGATTTCAGTTGACGGCTATTTTGATGAAAAACGGCTATTTTAATGTATTGATCGAGTTTAGAGACACAGTTTAAGACTCAAAAGATGAATTACCGTTCAGTTTTTCTTGCTACAACCATTCTGATAGGAGAAAAATCGTCCACAAGTTGTTTGACTGCCCATTATTTGGATGAAAAGTCACGTGATTGCAAACAAAGAATAATTTGAAGAACTAGTATTAAGTAACATTACTTGTACATTTAAATTTGTTTGGTATTAGAATTCACAGAGACCATAGGTTTTAACTGAGCGAAATATGGGTTTGCTGTTGCAATTTGCGTTGTAGTACTTTACTTAGCATGCGTTGCCACTGTAACAGAAAATACTGAAAGTCAGATACAGAGAAGCAAATTGTTAATTTAATTAAACATACATCTCTGGGTGGAGGACTAGTGAAAGAATTGTCCATTCTTATCTGAACTGCCAGTTTAATGTCATCAGCATCTATCTCCTTCTTGTTGGCATGGTTACAGTACACCCTGGCATCTTCCAGCACATCAGTAACATAACCTAAAAGTATGTGGAACTTCTACTAATATTATACCTCAAATTCAAATTGTCCAATCAGGAAGCTTAGTTTGTGCCACGTGAGCATGAAATTAATCGCGATATCACGCCTTACGTCATCAATTAGCGAGCCTGCGTTCCTTTTGACAATGTTCCACCCCATGTTCCCCGGGGAACATGGGGTGGAACATTATTCGCGTAGACCGCGCGAGACAACACCATAGGACAACACGCATGACAAAAACATGGCCGAAAAAATATAAATAGTATTGATGAGTGATGAATAATCAAATTTTAAACATAAAACCTGGGGCTTTTTCAAAATTTCGAAGCAAATTTTGAAAAATGTTGTCATTAATATTCCAAACGATATGTGATTCGAAAGAAAATCGACGAGTACTTGTGTTAATCCGAAAATAAAACATCGTATTCACGAAGGTATGTGTCAAGTTTTTAATTTTCAACTTGGAGGCTTTTAATTTTCGGTATAATATATCATTTATAGACCCTCCGCTCGGGGGATTCGGCGGAATATTACCCTCAGTGATGATATTTCCCTCGGGGCAAAGCCCCTCGGGAAATATCATCACTTCGGGTAATATTTCGCCGAATCCCCCTCGCTCCAGGTCTATAAATGATAATTGTAGACTCTTAGAAACATAAAAATTAAGTTATTATTTGTCCAATCATGGAAACCAACAAGCTTTGGCTCTTTGTTTGCGAATTAATTTAATTGGTTCATTTAAATGAACCAATAAAACCGGAACCTTACCCACACCCAACCCCCCCTCCCCTAACCTTAACTGATCAGGCCACTTACAAGGCAAGTGCCTTAACCACTCAGCTATCAAGGATATGCATAAAAATTAACAAAATTTATTCGATGTTAATTTTAGCATGCTGACAAAACAAAGGAAATAGTTGCGCCCATACGCATACAGGGCGGGGGCAGGGGGGGACAGCTGCTTCCCAGGTTGTTGGGCAGACTAGGCCAGTCGGGCAATATTCGCTTCACAGTCAGACAATATTGGCTTATTATAAAAATAAATAGGAGAAATTCTCTCAATATTGGCGGAAATGCTAAAATTGAGGCTTTTGGAATTTTGGAAAGTTTGCACTGAAAATGTTTTTGACAAGTCGGTCACAATGGGAAAAAGTCAGGCAAATTTATTTCTGCCCCCCTAATTTTTTCCTTCCCGTATGCCTATGGTTGCACCAAACAAATAGCATTAGCGCATTAGTTCTGCTTCATCATTGGTCATTGTCGCTATACGGAGTCACGTGAGAGAGCGCGCGAACCAGATGGATCAGTTGTGCATGATCCTTCGGTGAGATCAGATCATTCAAAGCCTGAGCGAAAAATTTTTCAAAATAAAAGTTATCTTTGTACAGTATTTTCAGTTTGTAAAATAATGTCGAGAACAAATATTGAAGAAGGAGAGATTCTTTCAGCGGAACAAGAACAAGTATTGCTCAATGATGATGAAGAACCCACAAAAACCACTGTCGACTCGACAGAGGATAGGTGGGCGAGCATGTTCCGAGAGTTTAAAGACGACGTTTTGGAGCGTTTTTCACGCATTGAGGCCAAACAAGAAAGGCCCTCTAAACGGCGGCGTAGACACAAGTCGTCATCGGCCGAAGAGTCGCCTGACGACGATATCTCTGACACAGAGAAATTATGTGGAGCGGTAGACTCTGCCGAAACAAGTAGTGAGCGAGAGGGCGACACGCCAAATGGGCAAATGATTTCGGAGCCCGATGATAATCTGCTGAGCGAAATTGCTCAAGAGTTTGACGGTGGCGATGACACAGGGCCAAACGTAAGCGAGAAACTCGCTGACATTGTCAACAAGCGTTGGGCTGAAAAGCTGGATGATTCAAAATTTAAATCCAAATTGGAAAAATACAATAGACCAGCAAACTGCACTCGCCTCCTTGTCCCTAAGGTAAATCCCGAAATTTGGGCGAATTTAAGCCACAACACAAAGAGTGCCGATTTACGTATCGTAAATTTTCAAAAAACGCTCACGAAAGCTGGTAGCGCATTGACTAAAATGACAGATTCCCTTCTGGAATTGCGTACCAAACTCAGTAAGTCAGACACTGAACAACAGAAAACTCTGGGTGAGCTCGTTTCGGGTAATGCTGATGCATTGGCGCTTTTAGGGCATTTGAATATCGACCTGTCGCTGCATCGCCGAGAGTTGATTAAGCCTCATTTGAAGAGGGAATACGGCGCGCTTTGTTCGACACGAACACCGATTACCGACTTTATCTTTGGCGATGATCTACAAAGCCAACTTTCGAGTATCACTGCGTCGAATAAAATTGGCCAAACTACAAGTGCCTTTGGCAGTGGGGCGACTCCTCGGCGCTATTCTGACAGCCATAATAAGTCTTTTAAAGATAAGTCTTTTTTATGGCAGCGCAAAGGAAGGGCGTATCGTCCATATCAGTCCTCTCAACAAAGCAAACCCCAGAGGCAGAAGTACCACAACAGGCCGAAAAATTAAAGCCAGATGACCAAATTAAAGTATTTCCTGATATAACTGAGGTAAATTTGTCTGATGATGTATTAATAAATTATTTAACATATAAAGTTACCTGTTTTAAAGCAGGCAGACTAAAACATTTTTATGCCGAATGGGCATCGTTAACCTCAGACACTGAGATTTTACATATGATATCGGGTCAAAAACTTGAGTTTTGGCACCCTCCTTATCAAGTGTTTGTCCCACGAGAGCGTAATGATTGAGACGCCACCCAAACGCAAACGTTTGAAACTGAGATAAAAAGTCTTCTTCAGAAAGGTGCCATTGTCCCATGTGCGCATGAACAAGGAGAGTTTATTTCTCCAATATTCACTACACCTAAAAAGGATGGGACTTCGAGAATGATACTTAACCTTAAAGGTTTAAATAAGTTTATCGAATATCACCATTTTAAAATGGAATCTCTTTCAACAGTGATCAGCCTCGTTAAACGTAACTGTTATATGGCTTCTGTTGACCTAAAGACGCGTACTATTCTGTGCCAATTGCAAATGAGCATCAAAAATACTTAAAATTCCTATGGAAAGGCCAACTTTATAAATTTGTTTGTTTCCCCAATGGCCTGGCTTTTTGCCCGCGGAAATTTACCAAGTTGCTTAAGCCTATTAGTTCATCATTAAGACAACTTGGCCATTTGTCAGTTAGTCATATAGATGACTCTTATCTGCAAGGGGATGACTACCGCGACTGCGCTAAAAATGTCTTAGCAACTATTAAACTTTACGACTCCTTAGGGTTTACTGTTCACCCTAGCAAATCGTCATTTATTCCGACACAGAAATTAATCATTCTCGGGTTCTTAATTGATTCCGTAGAGATGAAGGTATACCCCACAGCAGAAAAAATCGAAAAGATAAAAACTGCTTGTCAGGAGCTATTAACTAAATCGTCACCGAAAATTCGTGAAGTGGCGTCAGTGCTGGGATTTTTAATATCTGTTTTTCCAGCTGCCCTATATGGACCTTTACATTTTCGTGAGCTTGACATGGATAAAACGGAAGCTCTTAAATTAAACAAAGGGAATTTTGAAAAACCCATGTGTTTATCTGACAAAGCATGTTCAGAGTTAAGCTGGTGGATTAATTCCGCTGATTCATTACATAAACCTATTTCAAACACCCTTCCAGAGATAACGTTATTCACTGACGCTTCAAATCATGGATGGGGGGCAGTGTTGAATAACTGTCCAATAGGAGGGAAATGGACCCCATTGGAGGCTAATAATCATATAAACTATTTAGAAATGTTGGCAGTTTTCCTTGCCTTAACCGCATTTCATAGCCACTTATCCGGTAAACATGTTTGTGTCCGAATAGATAATATGACTGCAGTGGCTGATATAGGGAAGATGGGTACAAGCCATTCTCGAAAACGAAATGCTTTAACTCGGAATATTTGGGATTGGTGCGTACAGCACAATGTGTTTCTAACAACAGCACATATTGCTGGCAAAGACAACACTATTGCTGATGCCGAATCTAGAAAATCACGAAAGGATCTTGAATGGTCCCTAAATACAAATATATTTGAAAATGGTATTGGCCAGCTTGGTGTGAAGCCAACAATTGATTTATTTGCTTCGCGATTAAATTATAAAATCAAGCCATTTATATCTTATCAGCCTGACCCAGAAGCTGAAATAATAAACGCGTTCACAGTTTCCTGGCAACCTTATTTATTCTATGCATTTCCTCCCTTTAGTTTAATTACACTGGTTCTCCAGAAAATTCAGGAGGAACACAGTACGGGGGTAATTGTAGTCCCGCAATGGCCAACACAACCTTGGTGGCCAGTTCTAATGCGAATGATAGTGCAACAGCCCTTAATTCTACCTCGGACAAAACAAACTCTACTTTTACCGACCAACCCAGATTTGCTACATCCTCTACATCAAAAATTAACCCTACTGATGTGTCACCTCTCTGGCGACCCTTCGAAAATAAAGGCCTTTCACGCCAAGCTTTGTCCCTCATCATGTCATCCTGGAGACAAAGCACGCAACAGCAATACGTCCCGTATGTCCGTAAGTGGGAGCAGTACTGTAGTGGCCGGGAAATTGATAACATTTCAGCTACTGTAGAGGATGGTATAAATTTTTTAGCCGAACTATATTCTGATGGGTGTGGTTATAGTGTCTTGAATACAGCCCGAAGTGCTTTATCGGCGGTAGTGTCTATGCCACAAAATAACACTTTTGGCAGTCATCCTTTAGTTTGCCGTTTCATGAAGGGTGTCTTTGAAACAAAACCATCTCTTCCTAGATATTCAGAAACCTGGGATGTGAACATTGTGATTAATTATTTAGCTTCACTTGGGCCGCCAGACGGACTGACCATGAAGGTACTAACATATAAGGTTGTGATGCTGTTGGCATTATTATCTGGGCAACGACGCCAAACATTGCATGCATTCAGGCCTTAAAATATCTTTTACAGGGCCGTCTGACAAAATGTCCGATGTATTAATTCTGAACGGTAAATGTTGTGAAGATATTAAATAATTTGTCTCATATCATTCATACTTATTTCCAAGCCAAAATCAACTTGCTTGCAAGAACAGCAGTGAGACTTCGACAACTTTTAAGTCGGGCTTAAAAGCCCGTTTTCCACTTCACCATTTCGTTCGCACGTCGCCGCCCCGTGCTCGATTAGCTCCGTTAAAAAACATTTCCAGTTCACTTTTTATGCAATACTCAATAGTCCTCCCTCTGATTTTCCATTTGACATACGAGCCTTACTCCTGATTGATTTACGTTGGACAAAGCTACAGTTTGGTCGGACACCAACACACTCGAGTCGGACAAACAGTAAACCTAAGTTTCACTTACGTCGGACAGAATGTCCGGTGGCTTTCTCTCTACGTCGGACAATTTCACGAATGGGTCGGACAATGTCCGTGACCGACCAATATTTTAAGGCCTGGCATTGGATATAAACGGTATGCAGCTTGATTCGGACAAGTGTATCTTTACTATCAGAACATTGCTGAAGACGTCTAGAGTTGGCCATCATTTGCCGCCTATTAAACTACTAGCATTTAAACCTGACCCTGCATTGTGTATTGTAACACATTTAGAAAGATACATCGACCGAACAAGAGCTTTAAGAGGTAACCAAGCTCAATTATTGATAAGTTTTCAAAAACCATATAAAGCGGTTTCTGCAGACACTATAAGCAGATGGTTAAAGAAAGTACTTGAACTTGCTGGTATCGACACGAAAAAGTTTGGAGCGCATAGTACTCGTTCAGCCTCGACATCGGCAGCCAAAGCTATGGATATTTCAATTAACACTATCATGGAAAGTGCAGGTTGGA